CTGAGGCAAAAAATATATCCACTCCAAAGAACATCCTTACCAAAAACCTCCTTCCATTTTTCAGAGTTTGGAGTATTTTTATTCTTAGTTCCTTCATGCTTGTCTAACACAACTCTATAATAGCTGTCAAGAGAGCTGAACTTATTTTTGCAATTGTTAATGATATGTTCATTAATGTGGGAGAAGTCATATGTGGATGTATTATGGAGATTTTAAAAGGAGGAGGGATTATGTGGGCTTTCCAGGACTACTTAATTTGTTATGTGAAGATGCATGTGTTGACTTTAGAGAATTTCAGGAAAGAATAAAGATAGTTCCTCCTATCACAGTGGCAATGATTAAAGAAATTTATGCCACTATACTTATCACAATAGCTTCTCCAATTCCAATCAGATTTAACAAAGATCGTCCCTTACAAATCAAGAATCAACTGCAGTAGCTAATTGATAAATAAGATTCTTTGGCTGAGAGATAGAATGCTCTATGTGAAAGCAATAAAGTTGGAATATTGCTTTTGGAGAGTATAATGCTGAATATTGGAAAGAAAATAGGCACGACTGTAGAGTAGATGTATGAGACTCAAGTTACAGATGCCCAATGTCTAAGAGCAACCACCTTCAACAATCTCCCTCTTTTTAACACTTACTTTAATACTCCTCAACCAACAGAAGCAGAGGAAGAAGATGAAGATGAGTAAGAAGAAGAAACATCAGAGAATGAGGATGCAAAAGAATAGTTTTTAGGATTTTAAATTCCTATTTTTACTTAGGTTTAAGAATTCTATAATTTCCAATTTGGCTATTTTATTTCAGTTGTTAAGAATATTTTGGATACATTTTGTTTGTAAGCACTTACAGTTTAAATATTTACTAGTTTTCAATTTTTCATTGAATTCTTTTTTCTGATCATTTAATGAATAATGGTGACATTTTGTGAAGACCATGCTCTCATTTTTTGAAGTGGAGCACATGGAAATTTGACACTTGCACAATGAAAGGGGGGGGGATAAATTTTGTACCTCTAATTTCATGAGTTCAGCTTCATTGTTGCTCAAAAATATTTTTAGAAAAACATAAAAATATTATTTTTTCCATTTTCATATGATTATCACACTTGTATTTTTCAAAATGAGGAAGTCTTGCCATTTTGTGCATGTAACTCTGTAAAGTGAATTGTAAATTTGATCGATTAATGTTATCACTTTATTTTCTTGGTGAGACTCGAGCCTTGTAAATTATCTTTTTGGTGTGTGATTAATCTCAATTTTGCTGCACTCTCTAGAACTTGCTTTGTTTCTTGGTTGAATATGCAATTTTTCAGTAGTCATATATATGATAGAGGCTATTCTTGATTGTACCTGATTAGCCTTAATGAACCTCTACTTGCATATCCTAGTTTACCCTTTTGAGCTATTAGTCTTTCTCTTGATCCACTGGAATACAACCCTATTGGAAAAACCATGGCACATATCCAAATGAGAAGAGGTAATTTGAGTTTAGTCAAAGATGAGTTTTAAAACTAAGTTTGGGATGACATCAAGTTTTACATTGCTTGAGGACAAGCAAAATTCTAAGTTAGGGGTGAGTAGAATAACAAAGGTATCTGAGTTATTTAAAATGAAAATGAAAAGCAAAGTTATGTTAAAAAGAAAAAAAAATGAAAAGAAAAGCAAAGTGTTGTAAAGAAAAGGAAAAAAAAAAGAAATTGGTGAATGAAAAACAGAAAAGAATTAGAAGAAATTTTTTGCATAACTGATACGATAATGGCAAGCTTGAGTAATTATAACTTTTTGTAATTTTTCTACATAATTGGTGAATAAGTGAAAAGATGATGCAGTTCCATTCTAAGTTTTGAACTCATTTACTTAAATTGTATCTTTTTTGTTTGGAACCAACCACATTGTTTTCATAATTGATTGAACATCTACCTATCCTTCAGCCTTATTGTTACTTGGAAAAAGTCTTCTTGATCTATGATTAACTGTATATTTGTAGAGGAGATTGAGAATGTAGGCAAGCCTATGGTAGAATGTGGTAAAATTAATGATTTAGAGGGCAAACACCGACCTTGAATACTGATGAGTGATGAGGGAAACACTTTTGGTGAGCTGTGATTATGTCTTTCAATCTTTGTTTGCATTAAGTTTTGCTGATTTATTTGACTCAGATGATAAGACTTTGCAGCCAAAAGATTAATTCGGTGTGACTATCATGGTGATTGAATAGATAAATGACTTGTTCAGAAGATAAATTAGAAAACATTAGGATGGAAGGAAATAGGAAACTTTAAAAAAATTGAAATTCAATTTTGTAAAAAGCCTTTGCATGATTTATTTCAATAAGTGGATAAATTTAGCTCTTTGATATGTTTTGGTTTGCTTAAGGACAAATAAAAATTCAAGTTTGGGGTGGTAATAAATCCACATTTTACTAGTATTTTAGTTCAGTTTTTAGTAGTTGTTAAGTAATAAAGTTGATTAGTAAAGTTGAAAATCACATAACAAATGCTTAAATGTTCAATGTTCCTTAAGTAGTTTAATTGTTTTAGATTTTATCTAATTTTTTATATAATTTGCTAATTAGAATGAAGTTTTGCAAAAAAAATCTGAACTGGAAGTTATGAGGCTGAGAATCAAAGGAAGAAAATAGAAGAAAGTAGAAAAATTGGACTTGAAGAATGAAAAATCAAATAATGCATGTTGTCTCAAGACTCTCATATTCAACAAATCTTAGTCTGTTGGAATAACCAATTTACCACTAAAGCCACTTGGAGCCTTTTCATGAATTCACTTATGATTTTCCAGATTTTCACCTTAAGGACCAGGAAATGATGTAAGCACAACTAATGAAAAGGGCAATAAAGGAAAGAAAATGATTGGCATATCATGTGTTAGTGGTAGAATGATTAGGAAACCTGCTAAGTTTCTAAATTAGGCTGTTTAGAAATATTCTCCTATATTGGTTTGTGCATGTGAATTAGGTGTGATATGTAGGCCTTTTTACCAACTTTTTGTTAGAGAATTTCCTATAAATGTAATGATTGAAGAATGAATGAAAAAATCAGGAAAAAAGTCATCAACATCCTTCTTTCTATTTTCTTCTATTCCCTCTCTCTCTTTCTCTCTCTACCTTTCCTTATTATTGTATCATATAATAATGAAGGAAAATATAGAGGAAGATGAGATCCAACTTTACTTTTTTTTCAAAACGGTAGATTCTTCAATTTTTTACCACTTGATACCAGAATTATGTTCGTTGCATTATTTTGACAAGGCTAAGCATTGAAAATTGATAATATAGACAACTTGTCTACTTACATATAATATGAGTAGCCTTTTGTAGTGCAGTAGATTTGGTGTTAGAGGAACAACTTTTGCATGAACTTAATCAAATGAAACATTGATTATGTTACAAGGCAATGTTTAACTATAACCATCAAGACTGATATTTTTTTATAAGAAATTATTAAAAAAAACAAAGAAAACTTAGAACTATAGAAGCTACTAATGAATAGTGAAATCAAACTTAATGTCAATGGTGAATTAGTAATTAGAATCCCTCATCTACAAGGATAGGATGTGGTGGTGCATTATGTTTAAGTTTAAGAAGTAGCTATTTATTTTTTTAAGCTACTAAGTACAAGAAACATATTATTCACTTAGTTGAATGCTATTTATAACAATTTGTGTCTCATTTGAGTTAAAGAGTACAAATAGATTTATTGTAAATTTGACTCACCTAACTTAGTTTAATTGCTAACTTAGATTTACTTGAAAACTTTAACACATGAAGAATTAATATGAAACATTTGAGTGTTATAAAAAAAGTTTTAGATAATTAATTTAAATATGCTTATAGATATGTTAATATCATTATAAACGGTCTTGCTACGATGAGTTTGAGAGCTTATTCAACTTTTAGAATTTTAGAATATTTTATTCGCTTTTTGACAAGGCTTTTTTAGCTTTCTTTTTATTATTATTTTATTAATTTTCTACTTAAAAAAACTTCTATATTTAATTAATAGTAGACAAACTTTAAAAGAGGCTTTTTTAAATTAAAAAAATAAATCAACGATTGAATAAAAAAACTAAATAATAATTGCACAAAAAATTACAAGACATAATTAAAAAGATAATAGCATTTAATTTGAAACATATCAACCTCTGTATATAATTTGTAGGTATGATTTTTTTAAAATAATAAACATTCTATTTTATGTAATAAAATTAAATAAAGAGATGAAATTTAAAAATAAATTATGAAAAAATAAAAATAAATTAAAAAAGTGATTAATCCAAAAAAAAAAAAAACTAGAAATGATAAAAAGGAAAATTTATCCCTAAAAGCATTTTTATTTGAAAAAACACTCACAAATGTTTATAAATTATATATAGAGATTATTTTAAAAAATTAAAAAGCTTAATCAAAATTGCTTTACGTTAAATTTTATTGAATTTATATTTAAAAGAAGAAAACTTATAATTTAAAATCAAACCGCTTAAATGATAACGCAAAATACTGAAAAAAATTTATTCTAGAAAAATGATAAGATGATAAGATGAAATGATTTGAACTAAATAACTAAATTCTTTGAATTATGTTTGTGAGTTAATTTTTATAGGAGAAATGGAAGGAAAACAATTTATTTAATTGTTATATTATTTGAAATATTTTAAATAAAAATATTTTAGAAAATTTCGTAATCACATATTTTTAAATTTTTAATTTAAAATTTTTTTCATTAATTTTCTTTTTTTTTCTTCAACCTTTCTTTCTTTTCTTTAAATTCCAGGACAAATCCTTAAGTGGCTATTACGGTATTTCCAAAATATTAATTAAAAACTTTAAAGTTTAATTTTTTTATAAAAGATATAATAATACATTTTTTAATTTTTGTTTATCATATCATAATTTAATTAAGAGCTTGAAGAAAAAATAACAAAAAAGACAAAGAGGTAGAATTGGAGCCGGTGCAAGTGCGAAAGTTATAAACATTTGATCTGCATCAATCTGTGTCACATGCGTTTGTCATGTTCCTCTCTCGTCTCGTTCACATTTCATTCAATTTAAACACCCAACGGCATCTCCCAAACACTGTTTAATTGAGAGCGCGCTTCAGAGTTGTGTTTAGCAATGGCGCATTCAATTTGGTTCTTCTTCTTCGTGTCCCTTCTCTCTCTCTTCGCATCTCAGATCTCCGCAAACGAGACTGAAGCCAAAGAGTTCGTTCTCACATTGGATCATTCCAACTTCTCCGATACCGTTAGCAATTACAATTTCATCGTCGTCGAGTTCTACGCTCCTTGGTATCTTCCATCTGCGTTTTATTATTTTTTTTCGTTTTTCTTTTGCCAACCAATGCTCGTACGTTAGTTAAAAAAATTAATAAATAATATTTATTAAAAATGACGTTGATATGATTTTTTAATTTAATTTTTTAAACTTACTATTTGTTTTCTTATTTTTAATTTTTGTAGAGTCACTACTTAGATAGGTTTTTTTAAGTGTCATGTTAAAGTTTTTTTTGATAGTGTTATGGTGAGCGAAGTGTTTTGGATTGATTCATCGTTTTATGTACTCATCTTTTGGTTTGCGTTTGGCATGAAGTGGTGAAGTTGTGGCTTTTGCTGCTAAATTTGCTGCACTTTCCAGTTGGTTATTTATGGCTTGATTTGCTTATGACTGAAAAGAGCTTAAGGGCCTGTTTGAATAAAAAATTGAGTAGAATTAATTTTCAATTGTTGAAAGTAATAGTGGGATAGGATAACGCTTGGTTGTTGTTGTGAAAGTAATTAGGACATGTGCCAAAAATATTCTTAGCCATACAATTTTATTGGAAAGTAAGAGAGTTTTTTCATCGGAGAGCACGAGAATTAATATTTTTAACTGTAAACCAAGCTGGTATTAAGTGTCTGTTTGTATACCCTTGTTGACAGAATAATGACATAATTGTAAATTTCTACTTCTCACAACCGTATATACATTTACCCAAACAGGCCATAGATTGTTAGTTTTAATGTGTTAGTCTTGGTGAAATCAACATGTGATTTTTGGTTGGATCTTGGATCCATGAGTATTGAAATAGTAAATATGGTTGGGTTGACTAACCTGGCTATAACTTGGACGTTTAGTCTCATTTACTGGTGGGGATACTCTGAGAAACCAAAAAATGTGTTTAATTTAATGCTGCCTAAGATTATTCAGATTGTTTAATTTCTTGATCTTTATGCTGGAATGAAATTCTTTGAGATTCAAGCATTTGTGCTGCGCTGTGCTATTAACACTGGGTTACATATTTGCTTTTATTTGCTGAAAGGAGAGGGGTTAGACCTGTGCATGCTGAAAAGTGAAAATAGTTTCAGTTATGCAATACAATAAATTATGATCATAGTCATCCAGCTGATTATTCTTGGCTCATTGTTAATGTAGTTTTAACAATTATTTTTCTCAACTCTTTATAATTCGTTTTTTCCCCTCTTTCTAGGTGCGGCCACTGTATGAAGCTTGCTCCTGAGGTATTTTTTTCAGTTTTTATTTTAGGATTTCCATTAAGTTCATCTGGTAAGGTTATGTGAATTCTGAATTTTCTATTATATTTTGTTCCTGTAGTATGAGAAAGCTGCTTCTATCTTGAGTAGCCATGATCCTCCAGTTCTTTTAGCTAAAGTTGATGCCAATGATGAAAAGAACAGAGAACTTGCAAACGAATTTGAAGTTCAGGGATTTCCAACAATTAAGATTCTGAGAAATGGGGGTAAGGTCGTGCAAGAATACAAAGGTCCACGTGAAACAAATGGTATTGTTGACTATTTGAAAAAGCAAAGTGGTCCTGCAACAACTGAAATTAAATCTGTTGATGATGCTAGTGTTATTATTGGTGAAAATAAAGTTGTTATTGTAAGTGATCTTCTATCACACTTTTATGTTGTTTTTGAATTGTTTTGGGGTATAATTATATTTTCATTATTATCAGGTTGGGATTTTCCCAAAATTTTCTGGGGAAGAGTTTGAGAACTTTACTGCATTGGCAGAGACATTGCGTTCTGAATACGATTTTGGTCACACTTTGGATGCCAAACACCTTCCTCGGGGAGAATCATCAGTGACTGGGCCCGTAATTAGATTATTTAAGCCATTTGATGAGCTTTTTATTGACTTCAAGGCAAGTGTTGATTTCTGCAGATGGATTTCTTTTATGTGATTTGAACATATTTAATCTCATTTGGTTGTGTATAATTGCCTCATGGTTGTAGGATTTCCATGTGGAAGCTTTAGAAAAATTTGTTGAAGAATCCAGTGTCCCTATTGTGACTATCTTTAACAATGACCCAAGCAATCACCCGTTTGTTATCAAATTCTTTAACAATCCCCATGTAAAGGTAATATTCTATCTAACACGTTTGTTTGCTCAATGTTAAGCTCGAGGATTCATTGTAATCATACTATTGTAGCACTGTTTTATATTTGTCACTGAGTTCACCCTTCTACTAATATCATCCCCCTGTAGGTTACCTTCTGTATTCCATAATTTGCTTGCTTTCATGACATTTCTTCTCCATATTGTTTATTATTTTCTTTTGTTTTTGTTCCCCTAACTCCTATTTGATATCCAGTTATTTTTTTTTTATCATATTGGATTTTCAAAAAGTTATAAATTCAATAAAATTCAAATTATTGTGGGCGAATACTTATTTCATTATCAATTTCAGATGTAAGGTATGTAGGGTTAGGCCATCACTTCTGAACAAAGGATTGATCTTAGTTTATTGTGCCATCTCACCAGTGAGTCATTAAGATCTATTTTTAATTAAATCTTAGATATGAATAAGTCCTGTTGTTACCATTGCTTCTCTATGAATGGTTAGGTATGAATTCTATAGTTGAGCCTCTCTAATAAGATTTTTTTGTTCTAAAAATCTTCTATTGACTTGTGGCTTTATTTGTTTGTTTTAGGAATATATATACGTCTATAGATGGATTTATTAATATGTTTTTATTACACTGCCTTTCATGAGAATGTGAGATGACCCATTGGCCTTTAGATATTAAAAATTTATATCATTGATATCATTTTTTTCCTTCTTTCACCCTTCTATTTCCCATATATACATATTGCTTAACAACATAATCAAATTCATTTTTTTAATGCAATATTCCAGTTGGTATTATTTTATTGCCAATATATCATATATTTATTTAGATTTCTATTTTGACTACTTTAGGACCAGATAATTTTAATTTGTTCTTTAGTTCTCTGATGTTCCAAATTTCTAAATTCAGATTTTGAAATTGTTAGGCAATGATGTTCATCAACTTCACTGCTGACACGGCTGATTCTCTGAAATTAAAATACCATGAAACTGCCGAGCAATATAGAAAAGAGGGCATAAGCTTTCTAGTGGGAGACGTTGAGGCCAGTCAAGGTGCATTCCAGGTTTGCATAAAAAAAGCTTCCGCTTTGACTCTATAGTTATGCTTTGCTTAATTTTGAAGTTTGACATCATGACTTTGGCTTGTCCTGGCAGTATTTTGGCCTTAAGGTGGACCAAGTGCCTCTAATTATCGTTCAACATAATGACGGGTCAAAATTTTTGAAAACTAATTTGGAACCTGATCATATTGCAACTTGGTTGAAGGCATACAAGGTGATGCATTGATGCTTATTTCAATTAATAACATGTATCTTTTATTTGCTTTAATTTGGTATCTTTATTTTAGTAGTTTGAGGTTTAGTAATATCTTTAGTTTTACTTAACTGTATTCTTTCTATTATTTGCTATTCAGTTTGTTTCTTTTTATCTAATCAAACTATTTCTCTGTATAATTTCAGGATGGAAATGTTGAACCATTTAAGAAGTCTGAACCTATTCCGGAAGTTAACAATGAACCTGTTAAAGTGGTGGTTGCAGACAATTTTCAGGACGTAGTTTTCAACTCAGGGAAAAATGGTATAATTGTTTTGCTTCAATTTGATTTTATTCCGTCAATTTTCTGCCAGAATTCGGCTTTTGCTGCGATCTAATTCAATATCATATTGTTGGGGTAGATTTTATTTCTTGCACATATAAGAGAACTATGCACTGATAAAAATTATTTAAATAGGCTTAAATATGTTTTTAGTCCTCACATTTTAGTAAGTTTTTTGTTTTAGTTCCTTTAAATAAATTTTTTTGTTTAGTCCCTACTTTTTATAAATTTTTGTTTTTAGTCCTTAATAGTGATTTGGTCCATATTGAGATATTGCCATGTGTTAGTTTTTTATTTGACCACATAAGCATTAGGGACTAAAAAAATATTTATATAAAAATAGGGACTAAAATAAAAAAAAATTGTTTGAAGGGACAAAAACAAAAAATTCACTAAAATTTGAGGACAAAAAATATATTTAAGCCTTCAAATAATGAATACCTCTCCAGAGTTACATACTGCTTGGTTGGAAAGATTTTATTTTTCTCTTCCCTCCCATTAGAATCCCTAAGCTCCTTTAAAATAAACAATCCACTAGACATGACTTTTAATTCGGTTAAAAAGGGTAAAAAAAGACTTCGAAGAAACTTAGAAGAAGTTATTTAAAGAGATCTGTTGATAAATATTTTTGAGAATTTAATTTTTGATCAAGTTCAATAGCATTGTGTGATCAATAGAATTGATCTTGTTTAGTGGATTAAGGTTTGTTTGTTGAAGTAGTCCTTGTATGATATTTTGTATTTAAAATTATAAGTCGAAGGATTACTGTTACTATCCTAATGACTACTATTATAAAAGAAAGCTGTCACATAGACATTTCATGGGTAGGAGTAATGATCTTTTTTCAACTCATTTTTCCAACTATCGTCTTGCATACTTCTCATTTGTTAACTATTGAGAATGAATTTATAAAACTATTAACATAACTACATTGCAGTTTTGCTGGAGTTTTATGCACCTTGGTGTGGTCATTGCAAAAAGTTGGCTCCAATATTGGAGGAAGTTGCTGTTTCATATCAAAGTAATCCTGATGTTGTTATTGCAAAACTGGTGAGAAATGTATCTTTTTTTAAGGATCGTGCTTATATTTATTTTAGACAATCACTTTGCACTATTATGTAAGCAGCTTGATGAGAGAATAATGGAAATGGATTTGTACACTAACAGACACAAAATGACTGTAACTACGTATAAAGCTTTTATATAATTAAACGTTGCTCAACTTTTTTTTATGCACCTCCTTTCCAGGATGCAACTGTCAACGATATCCCTAGTGAACCTTTTGATGTACGAGGATATCCAACTCTGTACTTCAGGTCAGCAAGTGGAAAGATATCACAGTATGATGGAAATAGGACGAAGGAAGATATCATAGATTTCATTGAAAAGAACCGGGATAAACCGGATCAACAAGAACAAGTAAAAGATGAGCTTTGAATGAGGTTAATATGTATATATCATTAGTTCAGCTTCCCTTTGTCCTTGGATTGCCTTTTTAACCAACCCTCACATTTATCTTTCAGAGTTCCTCATTCATATTTTGATTTAATTGTTTTGCCCTTGCAGGAATGCAGCTGTTTCTCCGAGTATATAGACACACACTAAGTTGTATGTAGGATCTCGAATCTTTTTAGCATTTAAATTAACCATCTTAGTGAGTTTCTTTGTGAACCTTTTACCCTTTCAATTTTGTCTTCGTTTATACATTTTTTTTTCTGAATAAGATGCGAGATTAATTTTTCTTGGTATAGTTTAGTTTAATAATAAAAAATCCATGGCTGTAAAATCCTTGGATCGTTGTTAAATCAATAGATGCGATTAGTCTTGGTCACTGTTAAACAAAAATAACAGAAGGAAAGAAAGTATTAAGTTGTAAGGGAGTAGAGAGTATTGGCTGCAATATGTGTGCTCCTTTATTGAATATCGACTTGAATTTAAATACATTTGAGAAAAAATAACAGAACAAGAGATCAGGTTCATGATTTTAGGAACTGCGAGTAAATTGAAAATAAAAAACATACTTTGCTTCTTTCTCATGAATTCAAACTTCTTCAATGGAAAGGACTTGGTAAACATATCAACAACTTGCTCTTCGATTTTACAGTGAACTAAAGTTGTATCACCATTTTCTTGGACTTCTCTTAAATAAAATAACTTGACATTAAAGTACTTGGTTTTTCCATGAAACACAAAATTATACGAATTAAATTGTAGTTTAATTATCAACAAAAAAAAAATTGTGCTTCGATCTTGCTTTAAGCTAAAATTTGCCAAAATTTTTCTTGATCATATAGCTTGATTTACAGATATTGTGGTAGCCACAAACGCATTTTTTTGTTGTTGATTGAGCTACAATTTCTTGCTTCTTGGAGCATTAAGAGAAAAGACTTGAACTTATACTTAAAACAGTATTCTAAAGCAATTCTCATATTATTTAAGCTATTTGTCTAACCGTTGTTAGAAAAGTCAAATAATTTAAAGTCTTGTACCTTTTAGTACTTGACAGTATAATTGATGGTTTTCTTTGATGTATTTCACAACTTTCTTTATTGTTTTTAAGTTTTTAAGTCTAGCTCACTAACACAATGCATTAATCTTAAAAACAAGCTAATAAGAATAAGATATTAAGCTTTAGAGATGTAAATACGTTAGACACCTAATTAACCTTATAAAATGTGATTCACTTACTTTATCAGCTCCATCTTTCTAAATGAACTTTTCCTTTTGATGCATAAGAGCTATATAGTTTTGCATTCATCAAGCTATTTTTATTTTTTTTTGAGAATCTCTTTGCAGATTTTTCTAACAAATAAAAATATCGTTCTTCTTTTGATTGATCTCAGTTGCCTAGAAAATAAGTTATAAGATCAAGATCAGTCATATCAAAGACAACTTTTATTTCTTACTTGAATTATTCAATCAATCTAGGTTGCTTCCTGACATGTAGCTATGAATAGACTCTTTTGTAAGTCTAAGTGTAGCAAATGGTCATTAATTCTATCATTCTATACTCCTGGGGCTTATTTTAAGTCGTATAGGGTTTTTTTTAGCAACTAGACTTTATCTCTTTGGCTTTTGATCAAACCTTCAAGTTGCTTCACATAAATCTCCTCCTACAAAAAATCATTAAGGAAAGGTGACTTGATGTCCATGTGTACACTTGGCAGCTTTTTTTATCTACCCTAGAAAGTAGCAATCTCATTGTGTTGACTTTTGCAACTAGAAGAAAAGTAATTGATTTCAAGTCAAAATATTTGAAAATAACCTTTCACAACAAGTCTTACTTTATGCTTGTTTATAGATCTATCAAGGTTGAGTTTTGTTCTACTCAACCATTTCATCCCTATGACATTTCTATCATAAGGTCTTGAAATCAACTCTCAAGTTTAATTTCTTTCAATCATGGACAACTCCTCTTGCATTGCACTTAACCATTTCTTCTCTGTAGTAGCTTCTTCAAAATTAGTTGATTCGCATACAACTATGGTAGTCAAAATTGTGTATTGGCTCGTAAATCACATGTGTTAGCTTGCTCTCAAAATCACAAATAACTAGGATTAGGTGGGATTGTCGTGCTGCATCGTAAAATTGGTAAGCACGAACAACTCCAGCATGCTGAGAAAACCCAATTTTAAATCCCCAATGACCTGTGACTTGCATTTTTTTTTATCCAATTTGCTTAATACCTATCAAAACCCTAAAATCTATTCAAAACTTCCTTCCTTCCTCTGCTTTGCAATTTTATTCCACTTTAGAAAACCCTGTTTTGCTTTGCTTCAACGACTGTGGTTTGATCTGACGACTGTGCAATTTGCAACCTGTGAAACTTTCATTTGTGACTTGTGAAGATTTGTTCTACAACCTGCAGCTTGTTTTGTCCTGCTGTTGTGTGATGTTGTGCTATTGTTTTTCTCTCTAGATTCTTTTTCTTGTCAATTTAATTTGTTGACCTTACGAGTTTATTGATAAATCCACATTTTACTATATTTTTAGTATAGTTTTTGTTAATAAATAAGTAGTAAAGTGTTAAATAAACTTGGAAAAACTATAAAAATTGCATCAATATTCATAATTGTGTAAATAGTTGAGAATTTTAGATTTTATTCCAATTCTGAACAATTTGACTTGAAAAGATTTATTTCTTGTGCAGAAGCTTGAGCTGAAGATATTTGAGTTGAGGATTAAAGTGAAGAAAGTAGAGGAATTTAGCTTTAAAGATGAAGAATCGAGTGTTATGTGTTGGGCGTAACCACTTTGAGCACATAGAGTTAACACTTTAAAAAAGAAATTCATGAAGAGCAAGTAAGTAGTAATTTCTAGGTTGTGAAAGTGAATATTCTAGCAGCAGAAAATATGATAGACCTTTGCACGTGTTCACTCCAAGCATTTAAAGTAGCTACGCCCAAAGCTAATTTGCCCAGTAACCTTGCGCAACACCCTATCCGCTGAGAGTAGCCACACGCAGATGCGCGTTAACACTTTAACCATTCACAGTGAACACGCATAAGACAAAAGCTCAGAAAACACTTGTGCGTTAACACTCTGACCACTTAGATTGTCCACACAAAAGTAACAGAATTTTGAAAATCACTTCTAAGTGTCGACTTTAGATGATTTGAGTTTCGAATTCAATTATAGAAGCTTCTAGAAGACCTTTCATGTTTTAATCTTCAGAGATTAATGTGTGGAAGTGAAAAAGGCGGGAAAAACACTATAAATAGAAGTTGAAAGTTCAGATTTGTAACTTTTGTCCATTTTTTTGTTATTTTTCACTTTGTAATTGTTTTAACTTCCAAGGGAAGTTAGAGAGAGAGAGGTTGGGAATGACTTTCAAGCTTCATTGCTAGAGGAATTAGGGTGAAGATTGGGTCTTGGAAGATGTTCTTCTACTTCTTGTCTTCTTCTTCTCCTATTTCTCCTTCTTCCATTGTAATGTTGTTCTAAACTTTTTTGGTTAGGGATCTATGGATCTTGATTTGACATTGTGATGTAGTTTTGGATCTGAATTTTGAAATTTTAGTTGAATTGAGTATGTGATTCTGTTCTTAATGCAATTGTGAACTAATCCTTCATTCAATTGAACTTACAGGAGTTTTCATCAATGGAAATTGGGTTTATTTCTTAGATCTGAATCATGTGCCTAGGTTATTGAGATCTTAGGAATAAGTATCATAATCTAATAATTCTATAATTTTCAGAACTTAATGCAATATATGATTGAATTTCACCTAAGGAATTAGGGAGGTTTAATTAGATATTAGGATCAATGAGGCAAAGGAATTGTCCTTTGATTAAAGAAGTGAAATTGATTATCAATCAATTAGAATTCTTAAGAGTTCAAAACATTATTACATTGCAATTAAAAATCTGGTGAAGTGATTCCTAACTATTTTTCATATAGCATTTTTAATACAAATTTCGTATTCTGTTTTTACAGCACAATTGTTACCTTTCATTGTTTTTATTCCTTACTTTTACATGTGTACAAATCTTCTAAATGAACTATGTGGCTCAAATAATTGTTGAATTGTGAATTGGTAATTGAAAATAAGATCCTTGTGGACGATACTTGGGACTTATATTGATTTCCAAATTTTATTACTTGCTACAACTACCTAGTATACTTGATAGTTAGGAATTTTAAGTAAAGAATACTGCTGTATTTTGAATCCAATTTACGTGTACCAAGTTTTTGACGTCGTTGCCAGGGATCTTCATTTCTCAATATCATTAGTAGCAAGGAGACAATTAGATTGAGCTATTTGTTTTCTGTTTTCTTTCTAAATTTTGTTTTTAGTAATTGAATTTCGTATTACCTTTTTACTAGTTTTTATATATATTGTTGTTGTCCAGTTCTGTATAATTTCTTTGTCATTATATTTTGTATTCAGTTAAATGTTTACATGTTAGTTTTCTTTCTTACTTTCTTGTAGGATATTCTGTTAGTATTTGTTTTACATTATATTGTTCTATATTTTGATCAATTTCAAGTTTTTTTGCTGTGCTTAGTTTTCTTGTGTTTTATGTGTGGAAAAAACAAAAACAAGGCTGCTCTTGTGTTTGATCCGGATTTAGGAGTATAAAATTCAGTAAGCAAGGAGGAAGAATTGGAATCTGCACCTTATACTCCTAAATCGGAAAAACTTCAAATTCCTTCTCCTACACCACTAACTCCTCAAGAGAAGAAAATGGCTGAACAGACCATGATGAGAACTTTAGGAGATTATGAGTACCTAATATGCATGGATATAACTCCTCTATAGTCAGACCTACCATATAAGCCAACCATTTTGAAATAAAACCAGCTTTACTTCATTTAGTTCAGCAAGATCAATTTTCTGGTTCAATTTCAAATGATCCTAACTTACATAGCTCTAACTTTTTGTAGCTTTGTGACACAATAAGGATGAATGTAGTCAACGAGGATTCAATTAGATTGAGATTGTTTCCATTTTCATTAAGAGATAAAGCTAAATGTTGGCTACAAGCTCAACCACAAGGAAGCATAACCACTTGGGCAGACCTTGCTAATAAGTTCCTTACCAAGTATTTTCCACCTTCCAAAGGTACCAAATTAAGAGGTGAGATCACATCATTTGTGCAGCAAGAAGAAGAATCTTTGTATGAAGCTTGGGAGAGATATAAAGAGTTGTTGAGAAAGTGTCTACACCATTGCATACCGAAATGGGTGTAATTGGAAACTTTCTATAATGGATTGAGTACAGTCACTAGAACTATGATTGACGCAGTTGTGGGAAGATCATTGAATACTAAATCATTAGAGGAAGCTCAGCGAATTATAGAGATGATGGCTTTATCTATGTACCAAAATTCTAATTCTAGACACCCTACAAGGAGTGGAGGATATGAAGCCAAAATTCTTGAGACTTTCCTTGCACAGAACTAGCTGTAAAGCCAATTGTTTTCAGATCAAATTCCTACACTAACTCAACAAATAAGCAACTTACAAGCTGCTCCAATCTAGAACATTCAACTTACTTGTGATTTTTGTGGAGGAACCAATGGTGCATGTGATGCATCTACAATTGAACCACAAGAGCAAGTTAATTACATGGAAAATTTTCATTGACAACAACCTTCATTCCCACCTAGTTTTCAGTATCCTAATAGCAGAAATCACAAATACTCTAATTGGAATACTCAATATTCTGTTGCCAAGAATTCTAACTCTGGTATGCCTTTTTTGAATGCAGGTCCAGCAACACAACAATCTTATTTTCAAAGGAATCCAGCCATTCAACCTCAAGGAAATAAAATTTTTTCCAAACCTATGACTGAAAGGTTGAATGAAATGGAGGAAACCATGCTGCAATTTATGAAAGTGACCCAAACAAGCTTCAAGAATAAAAAAATCTTCTATAAAAAAGCTTAAAACTCAAATCAGATAGTTGGCTGAACAACTCTCCAGTAGAGATGAGGGAATATTTCCTAGCAATACAGTTGTCAACCCAAAAGAACAATATCAAGCTATGATGACTAGGAGTGGAGCTATTGTGGGAAGTCCCAAACCAGCTAAAATGAGGTTGAATAATTCTGTTGCAAAGGAGAAGTTTAAATATGATTTAGATGAAGAAAATTTCACTTTGCTAAAAATAGAAAATTCAGAAAAAGAAGAGTCTCTAAGGGTTGTGAGAAAGATAAAGCGACAAATACTTGAAGAAGCAAATCAGCCCATTGATGAAGAAAAATACAGGAGACTCCCTTATTCTCAAAGAGTGCCCAATCCAAATCAAGAAAAACAGTTTGAGAGTTTTCTGGATGTCTTCAAGAAACTTCAAATAAATATTCCTTTTGCTGAAGCACTTGAGTAAATGCCTTCCTATGCAAAATTTATGAAGGAGCTGTTATCTAAGAAGAGGAAGCTTGAGAATGATAAAACAGTCCCTTTGACTGAAGAATACAGTGCTATTTTACAAAGGAAGCTCTCTCAAAAATTAAAGGATCCAGGTTCTTTTAGCATTCCATGTGCCATTGGAAATTGTACTATGGGGAAAGCTCTATGTGATCTTGGGGCCAGCATTAATCTTATGCATCTTGCTATCATGAAGAGACTTGGAATAGAGGAAGTCAAGCCTACTAGCATAACTTTGCAACTCACGAACAAATCTTACACATATCCTTATGGTATTGTAGAGGATTTGCTAGTTAAGATTGACAAATTTATTTTCCTTGCAGATTTTGTAATATTGGACATGGAAGTAGATGCCGACATTCCTTTAATTTTGGGCAGACCATTCCTAGCTATAGGGAGAGCTTTAATTGGTGTTCAAAAGGGAGAACTTATGTTGAGAGTGCATGATGAGAAAGTTATTTTCAATGTAATTGAGGCACTCAAACATCCTAATGATTATATTACTTGCATAAGGGTTGATATCTTAGATTCTATTACTTTCCCTCATTTTATTGATAATGTTGATGAGATTTCATTGTTAAAGGAAACAATAGTTATAGGGAATTATTCTGCTGTTGTAAAAACAAAAGAGCACTTGAGAAAATATGTCCAACAACTTGACACCTTGCCAATTATTTCTTCTTCAGAAAATTCAGTAAGGGAAGAACTGAAAATGGAAATAAAGGAAGAAAAGGTTGAGAAACTTGAGCTGAAACAACTACCTTCCCACTTGAGATACTCTTTCTTAGGCCAAGAACATGAAAATCTGGTAATTATTAATAATGATCTCAAGGGAAAGGAAGAAGAGAAATTGTTGAGAATTCTAATAGCACACAAGTCAGCAATTGGCTGGCATATTTCAGATTTAAAGGGGATTAATCCATCTTTTTGCAAGCATAGAATTCTATTTGAAGACAACTACAAACCAGTAGTTTAGCCACAAAGAAGATTAAATCCAGCTATGAAAGATGTAATAAGAAAAGAAGTGATGAAGTTGCTGGATGCAGGGATTATCTACCCAATTTCGGACAACCAATGGGTTAGTCCAGTCCAAGTTGTCCCTAAAAAAGGAGGGATAACAGTTGTGCCTAATGAGAAAAATAAATTAATACCTACTAGAACTGTCACGGGCTGGTACACGTGTATTGATTATAGAAAATTAAATGATGCAACTAGAAAGGATCACTTTCCATTGCCATTTGCTGATCAAATGTTGGAAAGGCTAGCTGGACATGCATTTTATTGTTTTCTTGATAGATATTCTGGCTACAAGAAAATAGCGGTGGACCCTATGGATCAAGAGAATACTGCATTTACATGTCCATTTGGAGTTTTTGCATATAGAAGAATGCTATTTGGATTGTGCAATACTCCCGCTACCTTTAAAAGATGTATGCTGTCCATTTTTCTAATTTAGTAGAAAAAATTATTGAAGTGTTTATGAATGATTTCTCTATTTTTGGTAATTATTTTGATGATTGTCTAGCTAATCTGTCCATTGTTTTACAAAGATGTCAAGACACCAACCTGGTTTTAAATTGGGAGAAGTGTCATTTCATGGTCCAAGAGGGAATTGTCCTTGGCCATAGAATTTCTGAAAAAAGGGATGGAGGTGGATCAGGCCAAAATTGAAGTTATTAGTAAACTGCCTCCACCAATTAATATTAAAGGAGTTAGGAGTTTCTTAGGTCATGCAGGCTTTTATAGGAGGTTTATTAAAGATTTTTCAAAAATTGTAAAACCTTTTAGTGATTTACTTGCTAAGGATGCTGACTTTGTATTTGATGATTCTTGTTTGCATGCGTTTTCTGTTTTGAAAGAGAAGCTTATCTCTGCACCTATTCTTGCAAAACCTGATTGGAATTTACCTTTTGAATTAATGTTTGATGTAAGTGATAGTGCAGTAGGTGCTGTTCTAGGATAGAAAAAGGATAGAAAATTGCATGTCATTTATTATTCCAGTAAATTGAATTTTGCACAAGTAAATTACACAACTACTGAGAAGGAACTCTTTGCTATTTTGTTTGCTTTTGATAAATTTAGATGATATTTGATAGGATCAAAAGTAATACTCAATATTGATCATTCTACACTTAAATATTTGTTGTCTAAACAAGATGCTAAGCCAAGATTATTGAGATGGATTTTACTGCTGTAGGAGTTTGAATTGGAAATTAGAGATAAAATGGGAAAGAAAAATGGGGTAGCTGATCATTTGTCTAGACTTCCATTGGACAGTTTAACCTCTAATTCTTTAGACATTAATGAAGAATTTTCAGATGAAAGATTGCTTGTTGTGGAAGATCTGCCTTGGTTTGCTGATATTGCAAACTTTAAGGCCACTCAACTCATTCGAAAGAGATTTACTTGGCAACAAAGAGGAAATTCCTTCATGAGAACAAATTTTATGTGTGGGAAGACCCTTATCTGTTCAAAATTCTGCTTAGAAGATGTATCCCACAAAGTGAACAAGTTGAGATATTGTGGCATTGTCATAATTCAGAATATAGAGGCCACCATGGGAGTTCATGAACTACTGCAAAAGTCTTGCAAGCAGGATTTTTTTGGCCTACACTCTTTAAAGATGCCAAGAATTACATTGAGAGCTGTGATAAGTGTCAAAGGGCAGGCAACATCTTTAGAAAACATGAGCTGCCATTAACAACCATTTTGGAAGTGAAATTATTTGATGTATAGGGAATTGACTTCATGAGACCTTTTCTCACGTCTTTCTCTCATGAATATATTCTTGTGGTAGTTGATTATGTCTCTAAGTGGGTGGAAGCCATTCCAACAAGGACAAATGAAGCTAAGGTGGTAATTTCTTTTATAAGAAGGAACATGTTTGTAAGATTTGGAGTGCCCAGATTTTTAATAAATGGTGGAGGTGCTCATTTCGGCAACAAGCATCTTGAATCAGTATTAACAAAGTATGGTGTGAAACACAAAGTTACTACTTGTCACACAATTGAAGAACTAACTAGCAAGTGTACTAGGTAGTTGTAGCAAGTAATAAAATTTGAAAATCAATGAGTCCCAAGTATCGTCCTCAAGGATTAGTTCTACCAATTACCACTTCACAAATCAATAACTAGTTGAGCCAAACGAATTTGGAGTGTTTTGAATCATTTAACAAACAAAAACAATAAAGTGCATAAATCTGAAAAATACAACAAAATAAAGGTACAAATTTAGAAATGAAATGATATGTAAATGAAGTTAGGATTGATTTCACCTATTTATCAATTGCCAAACTGAAGTAGATCTGAACTCTAAGTTCCTTAATTGATTGATGATCAATTTCACTAGATTAATCAAAGGATAATTCCTTGCCTCATTGATCCTAATATCTAACTAAACTACCCTAATTTCTTAGGTGTAATTCAATCAAACATTGCCTTAGTCATTAAAAATTAAGAGAACACAAAATCACGAATTCTTATCCCTAAGATATCCATAACCTTGACATTTAATTCAGATATGAGAAATAAACTCAATTTCCATTGATGAAGATTCCTCTAAGTTCATTTGAACGAAGGTTTAGTTCACAATTGCATTAAGAATAGAATTAAATGTTCAATACAATTAAGATCTTAAAATCCAGATCCACAATCAATTTACAATATCAAAATCGGATCCATCAATCCATAACAAAAAGAAATCAGAACATGTTCCTAAAAGAAAAAAAGAAAGAAAGAGTAGGAGAAGAGGAGCTGTAAATATTTTTCATAAATCCAATTCCTAGCCTGATTCCTCAAGGTCCAGAGCTTGGAAGTCACCCCTAATCTCCCTCTCTAACTCTTCTAAGGTGTAGAAATGAAAAGAAAACAAAACAAAAATGGCAAAAGACTTCCAATTCTGAACTCTTAACCTCTATTTATAATATTTTTTCCTCCTTTTCCACTTCCACACTTTAATCTCTGAGGATTATAGCATGAAAGGTCTTCTAGAAGCTTCTATAACTGAATTAGGAACTCAAATCTTCCAAAGTTGACACTTAGAAGTGATATTTAAAATTTTGTTACTTTTACGTAGACATTCTCAACACTTAGAGTGTCTACGCGCAGCTTTGCGTAGCTACTCTTAGCACCTGGAGTGTCCACACGTAGCTTTGCATAGCTACTCTCAGCACCTGGAGTGTCCACGCGCTTTGCGTAGCTACTCAGAACACTTGAAGTAGCTACTCTCTTGGTCTTCATGGATTTTCTTCTTCAAAGTGTTAACTCTATGTACTCAAAGTGGTTACGTCCTACACATAACACTTGATTCTTCATCTTTAAAGCTCAATTCCTCTACTTTCTTCACTTCAATCTTCAACTCAAATTCTCATCTCAAGCTTCTGCACAAGGATTAAGTCATTTTAAGTCAAATTGTTTAGAATTGGACCAAAAATATAAGATTATAAACTATTTATACAATTATGAATATTAATGCAATTTTTATGATATTTTCAAGTTTATTTACTATTTAACTCCTTATTTACTAACAAAAACTAGGCTAAAAATATAGTAAAATGTGGATTTATCACTACTCCTTATCATCCACAAATAAGTGGATAGGTTGAAGTGTTAAACAGAGAAATTAAACAAATTTTGAAAAAAGTAATGAATAATTCAAGGAAGGATTGGTCAAAGAAGTTAGATGACTCCTTGTGGGCATATAGAACTACCTTTAAGACTCCAATTGGTATGTCACCTTATCAATTAGTCTTTGGAAAGGCATGTCATTTACCTTTGGAGTTGGAACATAAAGCTTATTGGGCCACTAAATGACTGAACTTTGACTCAATTAATGCTGGAGAGAAAAGGATTTTACAGCTACATGAGTTGGAAGAATTCAAGTAGCAAGCCTATGAAAATGCCAAATTATATAAGGAAAGAACTAAGAGAATCCATGATCAGTTCATTCTGAAAAGAGAGTTTAACCCTGGATAACATGTTTTGTTGTTTAATAGAAAGCGCAAGTCAATTTTGGAGCAATTTTAATTGAGGATCAAAAGACAGGGGGAGAGTTCAAGGTCAATGGCCAAAGGTTGAAAGTTTATAATGGAGAGACATTCACAAAGAATATTTCTTGTGTTAAATTGGTTTCTCTTGATTGAGAAACATAAGGCATCAAGCTAGTGACGTTAAAAGAGTGGTTGTGAGAGGCAACTCACATTTTCTAACCTTTTACTCTTGTTAGAAATTAGTTAGAAATTTTTACTTTTTAGTTATTTTTTGAATTCTAGAATTCTGCATTTTCTGAATTGTTAGTTTGAATGTAGTGATTAATTCTGAATTTTCATAAGTAATAATGAATTACAATTTAGATTTTAATGATTGCAGGGTTTGGTTAAGTAAGAATAAAGTGATGAAATCATGTTTTTAAGGATGATCAGCAAATGAGTAGTCACTGTGAGGTAGAAGAGTTGTAATGCAGAGGCTATATTCTGAATTTGATTGTTCAGGTTGACACTCTAAGTGCATAAAGTGTGTACGTAGAGGCCATTACTCTTAGATTTTAAGTTGAAGATTTGCGCATTAACACTTTAGGTGATGAGAGTGTTAACACACAAATGATTTGCACTGGGCGTTATCACTCTTGGGAGCAAAAGTTAAAACGAGCAACTGCGCATTGACACTCTCATCATTCACAATGAACACGTGCAAAGGATTTTCAAAGGATCTATACAGAGGCATTGCGGTGGACACTCTCATCACATAGAGTGTTAATGCGCACACATATACCTTGCGCGTTATCACTCTAGTCATTTACAGTGAACACGCGCACCTGAGTACAATTTTTGCATTATCACTCTGGTCATTTACAGTGAACACGCGTATAGGTGAGAATTTGTAGGTTTTAACTTCAGTCACTTGAAGTAGTCACATGAATTGCACATTGCATTTTAAGTAATCACCCTGACTGATTAGAGTAAGTACCCATATTTTATAT